CTGTATCATTGATCCGGTCCTTGAACGGTTGGTTGCTGCATGAAGTGACCAAGGGTCAAGTACCATTCTTTATTGTTTACTTACTGACCATTTTCGACCAAATCTGTTTCTCTAACAACTGTATATCGGGAGATGAGATCTGTGTGTGTGTGGTCTACCACATAATTACTGTAAATCCGACAATGGGTGCGGCCAAAATGGCAAGTGGCAGGTGTCTGACAAGCGAGGAGGAAAAGCCACAAGGTAACAGCGTTTCGTCTCTATACGCCAATAACTGGAGGACTTTTTTTTGTTAACGTACTTCCATTGAATATTCCATGTGCTGTGTCTGTTAATAAATTCAAAATAAATAAAACTCAACTAAAAACTGGTAGAGAAATCAGTCGCCACTCTTCAGTTAATTACGTTTTTGTTCAATATTGAGATTAACCCTAACCTCATCCGTGTAATTCTTTTTCTTTTTTCTTTCATGTTACGTCAGGCATGGTCTAGCGGTTAGCCTATCGAAACTGAATCCAAGAATCCATGGTTTTCGTCCCATTGTCGCACCGCTCTTTGAAAAAAATGGCTGCTCTTCGATTAGAATAGCCCAAGAGTTGGCGGTGAATTCCGTTCACTAGTTGTCTTCTCTTTTGACTGTCAGTTGTAAATTAGGGACAGTTAACGCTTATAGCCCTTGTCTAGGCTTTACTCAGATATCTGAAACAAACATTTTGATGTTAGTCCTGGACATTTATCACCTTTTAGAGATGTATTATCATGACTTACGTCTTTATTATAAATTATTCTTTTCTGATTTAAGTTATATTTGATTCTGAATATTTTTTATTTAAATTATTATAATTTTTCTCTCTATTATTTTTTTTTTAATTACTTCCTGGTTTTTCGTGTCATCACACGACTACGACACGGAACTGGTTATAAATATTTATCTTTATGATAATGTCGCTTAAAGGTTTCTAATAGATATTGAGTGAAAATATAGATCTGCAGATCTGCTCCCAGAGGCAGTGAGTATTCTCTTTCCACGTGACATCCGTTGCAGCGGCTCGTGTCACGTGCACAAAAGATGAAGGAGGAGGGAAACAGTAAATGATGGAGCTTCTCGATGAGTCATCGAAACGGGAAGCGATCCCCATTTTTGAGATTTCAGTGAAGCAGTTTTTGTGTTATACAGCTGGCTTCGTAGAAAACTGTTGATACAGGTGTTAGCGATACACACCATCTTGTGAAACTAGGTCTCACACACATCCGTAAATATTCACAAGCTTCCTGTACAGGTGGGTCTACGCAGGTGCTGTGAGTCAGCTACAAAAACAACTTGAAGTCTTCCTGTGTCTTTGGAATACCGAACAATGGGCAGTCTGTGTCGTGCCCACCACGGGTATCAAAACCTGGTTTCTAGCGTTGTAAGTCCGCAGACATGCCGCTGTGCCACTAGGGGGATATTGAACTGAACCAGATAATTCACTGATAAAAATTATTTACAAAAACACTTTATTCCGTTTCAGTAAAATGTGAGTTGTCTGGTTAATTCGGTTTCAGTAAAATGTGAGTTGTCTGGTTAATTCCGTTTCAGTAAAATGTGAGTTGTCTGGTTAATTCCGTTTCGGTAACATGTGAGTTGTCTGGTTAATTTCGTTTTGGTAAAATGTGAGTTGTCTGGTTAATTTCGTTTTGGTAAAATGTGAGTTGTCTGGTTAATCCGTTTCAGTAAAATGTGAGTTGTCTGGTTAATTTCGTTTTGGTAAAATGTGAGTTGTCTGGTTAAATCTGTTTCGGTAACATGTGAGTTGTCTGATTAATTCCGTTTCGGTAACATGTGAGTTGTCTGGTTAATTCCGTTTCGATTCCAAAAGGGAACTTTGATTAAAGTAAAGAAAGATAAATTATCGTTTCACACCGAGTCAACTAAAGTTATCACCACCACATATGATTTGTTACCTTACTCCACCACCACCACATATGATTTGTTACCTTACTTCACCACCATATATGATTTGTTACCTTACTTCACCACCATATATGATTTGTTACCTTACTCCATCACCACCATATATGATTTGTTACCTTACTCCACCACCACCATATATGATTTGTTACCTAACTCCACCACCACCATATATGATTTGTTACCTTACTCCACCACCACCATATATGATTTGTTACCTTACTTTACAACCACCATATATGATTTGTTACCTTACTTCAACACCATATATGATTTGTTACCTTACTTTACCACCACCATATATGATTTGTTACCTTACTTTACCACCACCACAATATGATTTGTTACCTTACTCCATCACCACCATGTATGATTTGTTACCTTACTTTGTTACCATAGGAATAACAATATATTTTAAATATATATATATTTCTAGATTATTTAATGTTAAGAAAGCTCACTAACTTAGTAAACAATGTGAAAACTCCGGATTCACTCCATCCATGTCTGTCCTGTTTTGAGCTTCGAAAAGCTTTTTAAACCCAACCCTTCGGCAGCTGTCGATAACATGGAATTACTGAGTAATGTACAGCTTTAAGTTTCAGGTGTTTTAGTAACAAACACATATATAAATAATGATTTATATTTATATAAACAGTTTTTTTTTTGAGAAAGGAATGACATACAAAACTTCTTTCGCTATACAAAATTAATTAATCAAGTGGACTCTTCATTCAGCGTCATTTCATATAGATGACGCTCCCTTTTAAATCCAGATTTAGTGCAGTTTATATAGCAGTAGTTCCCAACCTGGGGTCCCCTATATGTTTTATATTATAAGTTGCTAGCACACACATAAACGTAAGTAAAAGTATTTTTTTCTGTATTTTGTTTTCACAGTTTCATGTATAGTGATATAAAACTTTCACAATACAAGAAAAACTGTTTCTGAAAAGCAGTTTACTTTCTTACCTGACAACTAGCGGGCTCTCACAAACATAAATGGTTCAAACCATTAATTTGACGTTATTACATAATCGAAGTGCTTTGAACTGTTTTGTACAGTAGTAGTGTAGTGTCTGAGGATTTTAGGGTGCTAAAAGAAGTGTTTCAATAGAAGTAGTTAAATGGTTAAACCCTTAGATCTCAGTCGATCCTCGTAGAAGACCCGAAACCTTGAAATTGCTTTAATGGGGTATCACCGAAGGTTTCAACCTCGACTTAAAAAAAGGGAAAAATTATACTTTACAGTCCTTGAGAACAGCCCTGTTTATGGGAAAGGAAGGGCGTTTTTGCCATGTGATCTTAATAGTTAAGATGTATCTTAGTAGTTAGCTAGCTCAATAACTCAACTGGTTAGAAGAGTGATACAGGGTGGCCCAAAATTATCTTTCCAATTTTGAAATTTAATAATTCCATAACTAAAGAAACACAACTATGCAGTTTTCAACATCTTGTAGCCCAACTCAAACAGTCTTTATTGCTATGTTTTTCACTCCAGTGAGTAGTGTTACCCCGTAAAATGTCGACCATGTAAGAAAAGGCTGAATGAGTCGTTTGGCTTGCAGACTGGGCCAATTCCGTGGCCTCCGCGTTCGTCAGACACCACTCCACTAGACTTCTTTCTTTGGGGGGGTGGGGTGTTATCGCACATCTATAGCAAACATAACGGAGCTAAAGATCAGGATAACCAGGTAATTATGGGCATGTTGCAGCGAACGTGGACTGAAATAGTTTCGGTTAGACGTGCTGAGAACCACTAATTGTGCAAACGTAGAAGTCTACTGACATTTCATTAAAAACTGTTTGAGTTAGGCTACAAAACTGGATGGTTGTATTTCCTTAGTTAATCATTAAATTTTAAAAGTAGAAAAGACAATTTTGGACTATTCTGTAGCTTTTCGTCTCCTCATTGAACGAATTAAAGTACCAGGAGTTACAGATAACAACATCTCCTGGAATAAAACACTTAATTGGCAATACATCTTCGTGAGAGAAGAAAACGGTCTCCTTCTGCTGTGTCATTAAACGAACTTACCGTTTCATCCTGTGGCTAAGTATTCAATTATAGTTGTGTTTCTGTAAATTTAATGTGGTAGCTGCGTTTAAATTGTTAGCTATGATTTTTAAAATAAATGTTTGATCATAAAAAAAGGAAATAAAGGAGATTCGTTTGAACGTCAGCATAACGAATTTATAATCGACATTGTAACTAATAAATATCATACTTTAGGGTTAAAAACATAATGATTTTATAATCGACATTGTAACTAATAAATATCATACTTTAGGGTTAAAAAACATAATGATTTTATAATCGACATTGTAACTAATAAATGTCATACTTTAGGGTTAAAAACATAATGATTTTATAATCGACATTGTAACTAATAAATATCATACTTTAGGGTTAAAAAACATAATGGTTTTATAATCGACATTGTAACTAATAAATGTCATACTTTAGGGTTAAAAACATAATGATTTTATAATCGACATTGTAACTAATAAATGTCATACTTTAGGGTTAAAAAACATAATGATTTTATAATCGACATTGTAACTAATAAATATCATACTTTAGGGTTAAAAAACATAATGATTTTATAATCGACATTGTAACTAATAAATGTCATACTTTAGGGTTAAAAATTGATTTCAAGTGAAAGATTATAATACAAGTATAGCCTTGCTGCTAAATTATTTTCAAAGCTACATAATGTGCTATCTGTGCTGTGCCAGCCACGGGTATCGAAACTCGATTTTTAGAGTTATAAGCCCGCAGACTTACCGCTGTGCCACTGGAAGGCGATACACAATGTATACTGACCTCCTTCCCCTTCGCTAGAACAGCACTCAGTTTAAGAGCTTCTAACGTTAACATTTGGGATTCGATACACACATGGCCCCTGCACAGATAGCCCATTGTGTGACTTTCTTAACAATAAACAAACAAATCAACGTATACTTTATACCGTTTAACTGAGCACCAGAGACAGCTCGCGTGTGTTTTCATTACCTTAAATACAACTTGTTTGTCTTCCTCTAGAGTTTCTTTCGGTAGTTCGAAGGGATCTATGGTTGAAACACTCATCTATGACCACCAGGATGACCCACTGGAATTTCCCGTGTACATCGTTCCTCTAGCGGTTAATGGGTGAGTTATTCACTAAAATCAATGCTTCTATGTAGGAGTAGTGTGGTGAGATAGTTGAAAATATAGACAGGGCTCCTTCATTGTTATCATTTGGCTAATAAAAAAAATATTACTTTTATCCTATATATTAGGAGATTGTTTTAGCGTAAACTCTCTGTATGTATTTTTACAACTTGTATATTAAAGCATGCAAAAAATAATAATGTTAGTAAGACTACCATTGTAACTTGTGTTTCAAGATCGTGAAGGATCAAGACCAATAAGTTTTCGGGAACTGGGTCGATCCTGAACCACTGTAGGGCATTAAACCTTGGGTTAAGACTGGTATGTTGAACACTAGAGACTTTTTATAAAAAAAATAAAGTAACCTAACAAGGGCAACTATTCACAATGGATGTGTTTGTAAGCAGCTGTTAGTTTGTTTTCACAATGCTGCTCTCCTCCATAGAGGAACATCCTGGATGTGTTTATATATACATTGTTTTCATATTGCTGCTCTCCTCCATAAAGGAACATCCTGGATGTTTCTACCTACAGCTGCTGGTTTGTTTTCACAGTGCTGCTCTCCTTCATAAAGGAACATCCTGCATGTGTCTACATACAGCTGTTGGTTTGTTTTCACAGTGCTGCTCTCCTCCATAAAGGAACATCCTGGATGTGTCTACCTACAGAAGTTGGTTTGACGGCGCTGATGATGAATGAGATCTACCGAAAGTAATAGAAAGTAACAATATGATCTGGAATCTTGATCACTCGACGAATAAATAATAATAAAAAAAAAGAGTTAAAGAGTAATGGCTAAAAGTTTCTCTCGAGAAGAGTTAGACCTTATAACAAGTAGATAACACGCAAAAGTAGTTATGACGTCAAAGTACACCATGACGTCAGATTGCGTGAATTCGAGCTTATCTTAGATCACAAAGATAAAATGATAGCTCTATAAAGGGCATATTGTTCGTAATATACGACATTTTAAGATCAGTAATGAAACGGTATACGTATCATAGTAAAGTCTCCACGGCACCGATAAGTTACTAAAATTACAGACTGATTCCAAAAGTAACCCGTGTCTTTCAGTGACAATACGTAATCAAATTGCTTTACAAAGAAAAATGTAACAATATTATTAAACATTAGAATTTATAGGTGCGTGTATGGGCTATGTATAAATAGTTATCACGACACAAATGCATGTTGAGATAGTTTCGTTTACAAAAAAAAAAAAAGTATACAAACAAAAACATTTTCAGTGATGAAAGAGACGGTCGTCATGACAACGAATTGAGAGAGCAATCCGCTAATCGGTGTTTTGTTAATGATAAGGTTGTGGGGGCTGTGAGAGCCGCCGGGACTCAAGGGAATAGTGAGGTGCACGTGAAAGATGAACGTGGAGAGGGAAACAAAGGAAGTGACAAGTAACGCTGTGAATGGAGGCCGCGTCTCACAAGGCACGCTTTTTCATTTCACTCACATATATATATATTATCCTAATCGCAAAGCGTACCCTCTCGCCAGTAGCTTTTGACAACAATACTTGCACGTGCTAGTAACAAAGCACGTGCCTCACTACAGTGCATGTCCGCATCCAGATGTCCAAACCATGTTGCTCGGAAACGGTTGTCATGGTTGAAAAGACCTCCTTATACAAACGAGGTTCCTTTCGAGGGGAAAGCAATACAATTGCATTACGACGCGATTCGTCTTAACAATAGCTAGATCATGCTAGAGTTAGGAGATTAAAAATGTCCCTGGTGGTCAGTGAAGCACTGACCCTGTTGGCTTATACCCAATACAACAGCAAATTCTACTTTCCTCGAGCTCCACGGTATACGTCAGGGGATATTCTATTTCGAACATGGCTAATTTGTATACGGTGTTTTCCGTGGGATCTGTTCGCTCTGCCCGGTCTTAATGAATTATAACCCTAGTCGCCTGTCGGATATTATACATGTAGTACAGATATATTACTGAGTCAACAGACGCTCGTGCACCAAGAGCTCAGCAAATCCCAGAAAAT